TGTTGTCGTGTGTACACGACAACGGTACGGAAAGAGTTAAGACGGCAGATTCGTTAGTTGTCGATATTTTATACAACAAATATGAAATTTAGGCCACTAATTATTGGAAAGATACCTTGATAGGATTTAACGAATGTGCAACAATAAGATATTTAATTATCGATTGCAAATAATGCAAAACTCTCGTTTCTTCATCAATTATTAGAACATGAAGTTATCTCGACAAATATATCAAACCATCCGAAATTTTCCACGTCTAAGATCATAATATTGTAGTTCAGCGCATGGACAAAGTAGTGCCAGTTTATTTGTTTTATTAATTAAAAGTTTTAAATGCGATGAGAATATAAATGACAAAATGATCATCTCAAATTCATTCATTGCGTAATATGTAATGGTTACACGGTTATTCTCGAAGAGGACTTTGCTTACTTTGTAAAACTTCTGTCCGAAGCGTTTGCGAAACATTTGTAACAACACAATATGTTTAAATAAAAAGCTTACATGAATCCTCCCCGGCGGTACCACTTCCGGCGGCTGGCGTATTACCGGTCCCAGGGGTGCTGCTTCTTGGACTTGTGACATGATCTGTTGTTGGTATTGTGGTTGGCATTGGTGTTGAAGGTTGTGTAGATGGTGGTGGTGATGTTGATGCTGGCGTTGTGATCAATGGCGTTGTCGTTGGTGAGCACTGAGGAATATTCGCTTTATTTATATAACCCTGTCCTCTAGACGTTCCACAGGCTAAAGTCAAGTTTGCTAATGGATCTATAGCTGTAATATAAGACAGTATCAAGGTATCAATTCTTTTCAGGAGTTAGAATATTGTAAACAAAATTATGTTACAGGTGGGTTTTTAATTATAAGTTTTTTTACTTTCGTACTACATTTTCTTATCATGATGCATTTTACAGCATTTTTTTTTTTTTTTATAACAAAGTACACAGTAGATGTAATATTCAAGAGGAAGCATGATTAAATTAAACTAAACCTGTGATCAGAAGGAAGAATTTGCCAGCGTTAATGCCAAGTGTGTTGTTCGCCTCAATTTCAAGATAGTAAGACTCGCTGTCATAGATGTAAGTCGGTATGAGGTCCGTATTTGATTCACAGCCAATGGAGGTCCTGTTTTCGCCATCTTTTATCGTCAATGATTGGCCACATACTCCGTTTTCAGAGGTCAATATAAAATTAAGAGCACGAACGCGAAGTTGCGATACACAGGAAGCGGCCACAGAGCATGAGTACGAAGACGTTTGTGTCATATTGCCATCCGGGTATCCAGTGTTCCAGAGAAACACTTCTGCGTCTGTTGTACTTGTATTGCCACTGATTGTCTGTATGTCGTTTTCTAAGAAGAAACATGGAGATGATGAGACATTAATTCAACATCACGAATATGTATTTTTTAGTTGTATTATAAAAAATGTACCCTTTTCTTTTTGTCGACACTTTTGATCATGATTAAAAAAAACTGAATTACATCATCATTACCTCACATGCCAAGAGGATGCCATGCCGTTTGTTTTTGTCAAATAGTCTGCTTGAATTAACATATCGGCTCCTATAAACCTATAAAAGTTTTGTTCATCTAACCCCTGCAAATATTTCTGCTTCTTCTTATCATCATGATGTTATGATTTTAAATAAAACAACGTTTACCTGCCAAACAATAGAAATAGGCCACCATGTAGTTAGTCCGTTCTAGGAAAGAAGTAATACTGCAGTTCGGCGTCTCTACCCAGGCAACAGGCGTCGTAATGCACGTCGTTTTACCGTCACAATTCTTATAATATTCTTGATGACTATGTCCCTCATATTTCATTCCACAGTCGTTCTCGTCGAACGTGCAACATGAAGAGGGCACGGTCAGTGACGTCATAACTGTTGGACAGCCAGACGATAACGGCTTGGCGTAGGCAAACACAGACTCCATGACAATCGTT